GGGGACCCCAGGGAGGCCTGGGAGAAGCTGACATTGCGCTCTCGCTCCCCACCGATCTCATTGCGGAAGTGTGGGCAGCTAAGCAGAAGGTCATTGCTGTTGTCGTCCCCCAGGTCCTGCTCCAGGTTCTCTTTGCAGTTCAAATCCTCCGTGCTGGTGAAGGCTGGGTCCAGGGTCCCCAGGCTGTGGGCCCGTGATGCCGTGAGGGTCGCCATGGCTGAGGCGGCTGAAGCTGCTGAGGCCCCTGTGGTGGTGTTGCGTCTCTGGGCCACTGACACCCTGTTGGCAGCTGCCTCGTTGAGGTCAAATAGCATGCTCTGCACGTCAAAATGGGCAAAGCTCTTCTGGCACACCCATGGTCTGCTGGCTTCCGGGGGGCTTCGACCCTCCTCAGTCTCTCCCAGAGACCGCCCCACTTCCCCCTCAGGCTTACTGCTCCTCAGTTTCCTGAAGATGGACGAGTCCACAGTGTCCCCACTGCCCAGGCCCCACGCGGGTTTCTTCCGGGCCTTCTCCTTCTCCTTCAGAGGCTGCACAGTCTGAAGGCTATCTTTGGCAGGCTGGCCATTACGGGGGTCTCCCTTGGCCCCACAGCTGCTCCCTGAGAGAAGGGTGCCGGGATCCACCCGCAGGAGCTCACTGAGGTTCTGGGAGCCCCGCGCCTCTGGCTGCTCACTGCGGAACTCATTGAGGATGTCAAAGAAACTCTGTTCCGGCACGCCCTGCACATCGATGGAGGACGTGCTGCCATACTCTCGGAAGAGGGGCAGCACCCCTGGGTGCCTGGCTCCCCGCGCCTCTCCAGGCTCCTCCACGTCACACTCACTGAGGGTGATCTCGCTGCTGCTTCGATGCCGCAGAGGGAGGAAGGCCCGGCCAGGGGGTGGGGGCCACCCATCCTGGATTTCTACATCTTTAGACCTCCTCCTGGAGAGTCGATGGTAGGCTCTGGACCCTGAGGAAGCTGGGGTGCTGGAGGGGAGCTGTCCATTCTGAAAGTTTCTCATGGAATGGGCCACTTTGGTGACCTTCACACCATCTGTGTCCTGTGAGGGGCTGGGATTGCTCTGCTCTCTCAAGGCTTCTCGCTTG